AGGCTACCCATCATCGTCATCTACTGTAGGAGCTCTAGCATCTCATCTCTTAGTGTTTGTGCAGACTGTGTTCTCTGACCTCTGTCTGTAGCTGATGGTGGCCCAGGGTGTGTGGTTAATCAACAGTGCGGGGGCTGCTCCGTCATAATAATCACTAAAGCTGATGATGGTGGAGTGGTTGGAGACGTTGATGTCCACGATGATCCCTCCACACTGCAATGACAGCCTGAGGTAAGAGAACCAAACTATGTTAAAGGCAGGGATGAAGAGATGGGACACAGACCATGTCCATGCTCAGCAGGGTGCCGTTGTCCTGCTGACTGAAGAAGAAGAACTTGGAATTGGATGACGATCCAACCACACGGACGCACAGCTTCTTGGAGGAGTTCTCCGGCCACAGAGGGATGTACTGGAACACAACAGAACGCCTTCAAAAGAACGTCTCAACCTTCCAGAGATCAGGAAAAGCTGAAGGTTTTTCTTTGGGTCCTGATCAGATATAATCAGACCAGATCTGCTGGTAAAACTTTAATAGGAAGGTTAGCTTACTTCAGAGGAAGGGATGTAGTGCCACCTGATGGACGTCTGGCTAATCAACTCCCCCACCTCCAGTTCATACGAGGACTTGTTCACCAGGGTGTAGAAAGGACTTAAAGTGACGATCCTGGTCAGGTTAAAGCTACTCATCTGGATGCTAACGCCTACCTGCAGAGAGAACAGGAGAAGGTTGAACGAAGGAACCCGCTGACGTAAAAGACAGCGGAGGATTGAGGAACTTACCAGGAAGTCCATGTTGGTGGCAGGACAGCGGACGCAGCCGTAACTTCCCACTGTGTCCAGGGAGAAACCGTCCGACCAGGAACTGGTGGAGATGCACAGCTGCAGCTGCAAAGCAACCACAGGCAGATTCAAGCTGCAGCTCAGGTTATCGTCTCAGATAGAGCAGCTCGGCCATTCAAGCTTCTACTGCAAAACCTCCTCCTGCTACAGAGGAGCTGCAGCTGAAGAAGATCAGTTATTCCATTAATCTAGAAATAACCTCTTGGATGAATTTCCCTTAAAGGTTTGAGTAAAAACTAAAGAATCTGGAGTTCTTGGATGATGTTTGTTCCAAACATGGATTCTGGTGTTAATCATGTTTAAAATGAACTATAAATAGGAAATTTACTGAACACAAATTTTCTTTCTGTAAATGTAATACTTTCATTCTGCACCACTGAGCTCTGTGGGATCTGAGTTAGAAACATCCCAACCTTTAACTCTCAGTGTGAGAGAATTGCTCTGTTTGAATTCATGGGCTGCGTCCTCTGAAGGCCAGATTTAAAGGTCGATTACATCACAGCGCGGCGCCGAGGTCCGGTCGGATTCCAAGAGTCCTCGTTATACGGCCTTAAAATGCGTCCTTCTTTTTGCCTGATTTGAAGGACGGGTCCGATGTATCCTCGCTATCCTTGGTTTTCCCAGGATTCATTGCGAGACCAAGGAAGCCAGCTGCTCCGTGATCAGAGGAAAGGTTACTTGGCGCCGAACAGTGGTGAATATTGGAAGATCAGTTCAATAGAAGTTTGTATAAAGTTTGATTTATCTAAAGGTTTTTATCTGTTGCTGTATAAATGGGTTTGGCTTTAATTTAAGGACAGATTTTAATAGATCTGCAGGGGGGGGGCTATAAATCTGATAGGATTTTAATTTTTAATTGCTGTTTAGCGCAATTTGTATTCAACAACAAAAAAACAACTTTTAGTTGTTGAATATAATAGATATATTGTATAACATAAGATAAATAATAGATACTTAAAGAGACATATTTTTAATACATATATTGTTTAGGTTTACTTATATCTTTCTACGAAAATCTCAGCATAAATAAAAAAAAAGAAAGAATTTAGAAGAAAATGGTCACACGAATGTGGATCTTAGAAAAATGTCTAAGAATAACATAATAGGGAAGAGTTAAAAGATAAAATAATAAAATCCTGTAAAGTGTTTTAACAATATAAAACTGGGGAATAAATAACCAATATGCAGCTATGGACATTTTTACAGTAATTAGAAAATAGCAGCAACATCAGAGATGTGCAGAATGACAGCAGCAGGTTATTTAACTGACAGGTTTCTATCATTACATTTGATTTT